AAAGGAAGATTATTGAGCTTTGATCTGGTGAACAATGGATGCAATAAGAAAACAAGCAAGCAGGTTGAGAGAACAAGTCGCGAGACAGCAACAGGTGAAATTTTCAAACTTTTTTAGCCCGTTTGGTTAGATCCTGTTTCTTCTGTTTTTCCAGATTTTGATATTGTGATCCTGTTGATGTTGGTTTCTGGTGAATCAATCAATAATGCAATGATGAGGAAGTAGCTTTCTCGGATCGATAGTTTTCGACTTATTGAGTAATTGGATCTGAGTGTTCCTTGTCATTTTTTGGCTTTGGATTCATTTGATTTGTGTAAAATCCTTTTGGATTGGAGAAATTTCGGTCTGCATAATTTGGTATTTGGTTTTGACTCGTCAAAATGGTCACTTAGCATTGGTTTGGTGATGTCCTGTGATATGTCAAGATCAGAAGTTATTGATGAATTTTGGTAGAAACACGTTTTGAGCAGGGAGTTGAAAGATTTTGTAGTCATGGATTATTATCTTGATTCTACAAAGCTAAAAGAAGTTTAAATTGTCTAGCACCACTGCTCCTGCTGAATATAGAAACTATATAATCACAGAAATATGACAGATAATCGCTCCTGCTTCAATGCGTTTACTTGATGCTTGTGCTCAAAACTATGTTATATTGCCCTGAGATTGTGTGTGTTTTTACTGGAGTTTAAGGGTTGAGAAGTACACTGACGTTGTTATTTGGAATGGTTAAGGCTGTCTTCAAGCAATTTGGAGGAGGAGGATATGGGTCTGGTTTATCGGATGATGCAGAACTCCATCAACATCAGAAACTAGAAAAGCTTTACATATCAACCCGTGCTGCCAAGGTTTTTCTCAAAGCGTTTGACTATTTGAAGTCTTGTTTACTATTGATTTGGAACTCATACATTCGTCTTTTTCAGCATTACCAAAGAGATATCGTTCGTGGTGTGGAAGGTTATATAGTCACGGGTTCAAAACAAGTTGAAATAGGTGATTTGTTGACCATTTCGTGTTGATTTATAGTATGTTTTTATGTCTGTTATTGACGTGGATCTGCTCACAGGCCTGACTTTAATCGTGTACTCGTTTTCCATCAGGGACCAAACTGTCTGAGGATAGCAGGAAATATGGTTCAGAAAATACATGTACGAATGGTAACGTCTTAACAAGGGCTGCCCTGAGCTACGGACGTGCTCGGGCACAAATGGAGAAGGAGCGTGGAAATATGTTGAAGGCTCTTGGTACACAGGTTTGTCCTTTTCATCTTCCATCAAACTGTTAAGCATTAGTACATATCAAGTCATATCTTTTGCATGTGTTATAACTACTCAACGAATTACTTTCTTGCCGTCGTTAGTGGAATGACTGCCAATGGTGGGAAGATCTATAGCTTTTATCTGGAATTTTTTTGTTACATCATGTATCTATAAATAATCCTAAAAAGTCTATTATGTCATGGTGTACGCATGGTTCTTTCTTTATTGCAATTTAGCTACTACAATTACATGTCAATCTGGAATTTAAATCTGAAACTATTATAGGTTGCTGAGCCATTACGAGCAATGGTTTTGGGAGCTCCATTGGAGGATGCTAGACATCTTGCCCAACGTTATGACAGAATGCGTCAAGAAGCTGAAGCTCAGGTACCATGAAGCATTTTGATTATCTCTTGTAGAAATATGGGTGTTTTCCTCTTTCTAGATTTAGCCATCTGTTCTTAGCATGATATAAATTTATTCATGCGCTGCTTCAAATCTAAACAGGCAACAGAAGTTGCTAGACGCCAAGCAAAGGCGAGAGAGTCTCAAGGTAATCCGGACATCTTGATGAAACTGGAATCTGCTGAAGCAAAACTTCAAGACCTAAAATCAAATATGACAACATTGGGGAAGGAAGCTGCTTCTGCTTTATCTTCCGTTGAAGATCAACAACAAAAGTTGACTCTTGAACGACTTATTGCAATGGTAGCGGGATTAAATTACATGCTCCATTTTTAGGTCAACTTTGATTTACCTACCCATATGTACTTCTTTTGATACAAATATATTTTTCATTTCTCATCTCAAGGTTGAATCTGAACGTGGCTACCATCAAAGAGTCCTCCAAATACTCGATCAGCTCGAAGGAGAGGTTGGTGTGCATTAGTTTTACAGCTTTCAACTTCATGTTATAGTGATAGTATTCTTGTCAAACAGTTAATTCATCATTATGAGTCAACTAAGGGAAAAATTGAACATTCTTTGAATCTGCAGATGGTATCTGAGAGGCAACGTATTGAAGCTCCCTCTACTCCCTCAAGTGCAGACAATATGCCGCCCCCTCCATCATATGAGGAAGCTAATGGAGCGTTTGCATCTCACATGCATGACACTTCAACAGATAGCATGGGTTACTTCTTAGGAGAGGTATGCTACTCAGTCTTTAATGTCTTCTATTGCCTTTTTTGGCACAAATAACCTATACCTTCCTTTGCGAGCAAAAACTTTTGTTTAAATTGGTAGCAAAAGTTTCAAAGATATAATGTGATTATAAGTTCTCTACGTATGAATTGGATGTTTATAAACTGTTTCTGATTAAAGACGCGAAAGAAAGACTACATGATGTTCCATTATAACAAATTATTCCCTTTTTGACATGTTCAGGTCTTGTTTCCATATCACGGTGTGACAGACGTTGAGCTCAGCTTATCGACTGGTGAATACGTTGTTGTTAGAAAGGTTTGATAGTGAACCGACCCCCACATGGGGATAATCAACAATGCCTCCTTTAACTCACATTTAACCGATACGGTTTTTCAAGAGTGGTTGTTTAATATCACATTTGTCTGTTGCTCACTATCAGGTTACGGGGAGTGGATGGGCAGAAGGTGAATGCAAAGGCAAAGCCGGTTGGTTCCCTTACGAGTACATTGAAAGACGAGAACGAGTTCTTGCTAGCAAAGTGTCTGAAGTTTTCTGAGAATCTGAAGGTAACATTGTGCTTTCCACTTTGTTGGTATTGGAATTGAGTTGTTTCTGTAGAAGAGTTGTGTGTGTGTTCTGTAGAAAGAAAGAAAAGATTCACCGGCGAAACAGAAATCCATGTTCATAAAGATCAAGAGTTGATGCGGATTTCAGCGATTTTTCTGAATCTGATAGTGATGATGCCACTAGAACAAATTGTTCAATTTTTAGGTATTGTTATCTCAATATTGTAATTTGGATCCTTTCTTTGGCAGTAAATGCCAATTCTCTATATCTATCTTCATATGTGAATACATTTCTTTTCTTTTTTGGGTTTCTTTGTGACTTTTTGTCCAATTACTTTCATCTTTTCAAACTTACGAAATTGTAAAAAGAAGTACCAAAAACAGAAATTGCTATGGATTCAGACCAAACCAAGTTTAAAATAAGGGACACAATCTTGAATAAAGAGAATCAATTCAAGATTTGATCAAACATTCAAATTACCTATAAACTATCTTCATAAGAAAAAGATAAAATATCGACTAGTGGGCCTTACAAAAAAGTAGCCCAACGAGTTTACGTTTTCTAAACGATTCAGGGCCTTTAAAAGCTTGAAGTTTCCTTCCTCTTTAGTGAAAAAACATAACTTATAATTAATTAGGGTTCTTCGAAGCTTTTGAGTTTTTCAATTGAATCTCAATCTGCGGACTTTTTGTGGTGGAATTCTGCAATGGAGGAAGAGAAATCTATGTCGAGGAAGGAAGATTCGAAGAGGAGTCGCCGAGATCGTGATCGGAGTAAGGAGCGGAAGAAGGATCGAAGTCCGGAGAAGGAAAGGCGAAAGAGACGATCTGAGAGAGTTAGGAGAAGTGATTCCGAAGATCGGAGACGGAAGGAGAAGGAGAGAAAGAAGCGTCGCAGCGATTCTGAAGAAGAAGAAGAAGAAGACGAGAGGGATAAACGGAGAGGACACAGAGAACGTGGTAGAGGCAAAAGTCGGAGAAAGGAACATAGGAGAGAAGAAGAAGGTGAGAAAGTAAGGGAAAGAGACGATGGTGTTGAAGAGAGTGATGATAGTGTCAAGCGTAGCGATTCTGAAGAAGAGGTTGATAGACGCAGAAGACACCGAGAAGATGAGAGAGATAGAGGCAAAGATCGGAAAAGAGACAGAGATCATAGAGAGAGGAGAAAAGGTGAGAAAGAAAGGGAAAGAGATGATGGTATTGAAGAGAGAGATGAGAAACGTAGAAGAAAAGAGAGTGAAAAGAGTGTTGGTAGATCTAGCAAGGATGTAGTAGACAATGGTGAGAAGAAAGAGAGGAAGACTCGAGAAGAAGAAGTAGAGGAAGAGCAGAAGCATTTGGATGAGGAGGTTGAGAAACGGAGAAGAAGAGTTCAAGAGTGGCAAGAGTTGAAGAGAAAAAAGGAAGAAACCGAAACTGAAACTAAGGATCTAAAAGAAGGTAAAGTTTGGACTCTTGAAGGAGAATCTGATGATGAACAAGAGGAGAAACCAGAAACAGAAATGGATGTTGATGGAGAGACTAAACCTGAAGATGATGGTGATGCCAAAATGATAGACTTGGAGAATACTGTCTCCGAGACTGGAGCTGATGTTGCTGAAGATGAAGAGGTAGATCCTTTAGATGCTTTTATGAATTCTATGGTATTACCTGAGGTTGAGAAGCTTAGCAGTAGTGATACTCCCACAGTAGTAGACAAGGATAGTGTTTTGGATTCTAAGAAGAGTGGTGACAAACAAAAGAAAGCTTTTAATAAAGCTCTTGGTAGAATATTTGAAGGTGAAGATTCTGATTCTGATTATACAGAAACAAATGATGATGGTGATGATCCAAGTCTGGAAGAAGACGATGAGGAGTTTATGAAGAGGGTCAAGAAAACAAAAGCTGAGAAATTGTCTCTTGTTGACCACTCAAAAATACAGTATGAGCCTTTCCGCAAAAACTTCTATATCCAAGTGAATGATATCTCAAGGATGACACCGGAAGAAGTTAACGATTACAGAAAGGAATTGGAGCTGAAAGTTCATGGAAAGGACGTACCAAGACCCATCAAATTTTGGCACCAAACTGGGCTAACCAGCAGAATTTTGGATACGTTGAAGAAGCTTGACTATGAAAAGCCAATGCCTATCCAGGCACAAGCACTCCCAATCATCATGAGTGGTAGAGACTGCATTGGAGTTGCAAAAACAGGGTCAGGTAAAACCCTTGGTTTTGTTTTGCCGATGTTGAGGCACATCAAAGATCAGCCTCCCGTGGAAGCTGGTGAAGGGCCAATTGGGCTTGTAATGGCACCTACTAGGGAGCTTGTTCAGCAGATTCACAGCGAAATCAAAAAGTTTGCCAAGGCGTTGGGTATAAGATCTGTCCCTGTGTATGGAGGATCAGGAGTTGCCCAGCAAATCAGTGACCTTAAGCGAGGTACTGAGATTGTTGTGTGCACTCCTGGCAGAATGATTGACATTCTTTGCACTAGCGGCGGGAAAATCACAAATCTGCGAAGGGTCACATTTTTGGTAATGGATGAAGCTGACCGTATGTTTGACATGGGTTTTGAACCTCAGATCACCCGTATCGTTCAAAATATTCGACCTGAACGGCAAACTGTGCTCTTTTCAGCGACTTTTCCACGCCAAGTTGAAACTTTGGCACGTAAAGTCTTGAACAAACCTGTAGAAATACAAGCTGGTGGAAGGAGTGTTGTGAATAAGGATATAACTCAGTTAGTTGAAATCAGACCGGAGAGTGAGAGGCAGTCTAGACTCCTGGAGCTTCTTGGGGAATGGTATGAGAAAGGGAAAATATTAGTCTTTGTTCAATCGCAGGAAAAATGTGATGCTTTGTACAAGGATCTGATGAACCGATGTTACCCTTGTTTATCTCTTCACGGTGGTAAGGATCAGACTGATCGTGAATCAGCTATATCTGATTTTAAGAGCAACGTCTGCAATTTGATGATTGCGACAAGTGTTGCAGCGAGGGGTCTAGATGTGAAAGAGCTTGAATTGGTTGTAAACTTTGATGCACCGAACCATTATGAAGACTATGTGCATCGCGTTGGCAGGACAGGCAGGGCAGGGCGGAAAGGATGCGCTGTGACATTTATCTCGGAGGATGATGCAAAATATGCACCAGATTTAGTCAAAGCCCTGGAACTTTCTGAGCAGCCAGTTCCTGATGATCTTAAAGCAATTGCGGATGGTTTCATGGCGAAAGTGAAACAGGGTATTGAGCAAGCTCATGGAACTGGCTATGGTGGTAGTGGCTTTAAATTCAACGAAGAGGAGGAAGACGTTAGGAAAGCAGCGAAGAAAGCACAAGCGAAGGAGTATGGCTTTGAGGAGGACAAGTCTGACTCGGAAGATGAAAATGACGTAGTAAGAAAGTCTGGTGGTGGTGATATCTCACAGCAGCAGCAGGCCGCTGTTGCTCAGATAGCCGCCATTGCTGCTGCCGCTAAATCTTCTGCTCCTGTGACTACTACTAACCAATTGGTTCCTAATGGTGTCCTTCCGGTTACTCTTCCTAGTATTATTAGTGATGGAGCTGGCCGTGTTGCAGCCATGGTTGCTGCCGCCAACCTGCAACATAATCTTGCAAAGATTCAAGCTGATGCAATGCCCGAACATTACGAAGCGGAATTGGAAATCAATGATTTCCCGCAGAATGCTCGTTGGAAGATCACTCACAAAGACACTCTAGGTCCGATATCAGATTGGAGTGGAGCCGCCATTACCACTAGAGGTCAGTTTTATCCTCCAGGACGTATTCCGGGACCTGGGGAACGCAAGCTCTACTTGTTCATCGAAGGGCCTACCGAAAAATCAGTTAAGGCAGCGAAAGCTGATCTCAAGCGTGTTCTTGAAGACATTACTAAGCAGGCCATGTCACTTCCTGGAGGATCGCAACCCGGCAGATACTCTGTTCTATAACCATGAGGTGTGTGATTCTTATCACTCAGTAAGTGATGTTGTACTATTTTTATAGACTCTTACTTTGTTTGAGAAATAAAGTTATAAACATCAGTGAGACGGACCTTTACGAAATTGTAGTATTATTTGGTTCCATGTAACAATAGTTCAGAAGCAATATTTTTTCTAGGCAGAGAGCGACATATAGAACATAAACACAAACATGTTCATGTATTTAGCTTATACACCCAAAATGATCTTTAGGGTTTTGTGAGTCCTGTTATTTCGTCTCGGCTTTATTGAGGAACACAATCTTGAATAGGAATCAATTCAAGATTTGATCAAACATTCAAATAAACTATATTCATGATGATCTCCAGGTCTTGAAGTGACACAGTCAGAGTCACTTACACTGGTTTGCTTTTGAGATACTAAAGACTATGGCCAGTAGAAGAAGCACAAGCATTACAATCTGCATTTTTGGGTATAATGGAGGATGATAAGTAAGTTATCCTTAAAATAAAAACACTTTCTATGGAAATGGATAATGAAAATTAACTTACATAGATAGCCTTTGATTGTATTTCATCTTTAACATAAGATTTTCTGAACCAGAAAAAGAGACAAAGATTTCATTAAAACCTCAACCAAAAAGTAAAAGATCATTCTCTGTACTAAGAAAACGAAAAGACTATAAATGTAAATGCGGTTCTTCTTGAGGTAAAAAGCAATAATTCCTCTTGGTAAATGACTTTGGATCTTTTTTTTTTTTTGTCGAAAAAATGACTTTGGATCTTCTTTCAATTAATGGAACAATAAGAAGAAAAAAAAAAAAGAATCTTACCTCTTGTGAAGGGTTCCATTTTCTCTGCAGACTTTCTTGATAGTTTCGAGTCGGTTTAGTGTTTTCATGGTGTTCGGATTGTTCTTGTCAACCTATTATTAAAAATAACACATATTTCACCTTCTAATTACCTACAATAAAACAAATAGTATACTAACATACATACCTTTGTCTCTAGCATGCAAGAAAAATCATAGAATGCACCATAGACATCATCCATTGTTTTTGTGCGATCAATTAGTTTAGCTATTAAACCTAAAAAATATAAATCTTTTGTCAGTAAATCAGAGTTTTCACATAGCAATGTTTGTAAAATAACTCAGTTATTGATTTCACTCACAAATGAGTGATTATAGCTTTTGATTATAACTAAGCTTTAGGATTTAGATGATGAAATCATTTTAAAGATTGTAAACCAAAAGATAAAACATTTTACCTCGCCTAAGTTTCACAACGCCTCTAAATACTTGTACATTGTTATAGCATAGTGCAAGTGTTCCAATTGCCACGATCTAATCAAAGCGAAGAAACATTTTATATCAATGCAGAGGATAAAACACATCTCAATTAAGTTTAGTTGGAAAAAGCTTAAGAATATATGTGATAAGTTTTATTTTGTCTAACCTGAGGAATGGCACAAGACTGAAATATTGCGGGACTACGCAATGTAGTCAGGCTTTTTAAGCAATCTTCAACATGAATCAATGCATTAGTAACCATATCATTCAAACACTGCAATGCTTTTGTTGATTTCTCCTCATTTTTCAAGTCCTAACATTATAAGAATTCACAAAGAAGTGTCACATTGTGTTTTAATACAAGATCATCAGATGAGAGCTTGACAGTAAAATGTATGCACCTCGAGCTTGTCGACATATTTTCCCCAAATCTCACGAGGCCAAAACATGCGCGGTTTTGGTATCTCATTAATGTCCTCATGATAATCTCTAATAATATTTGTTTTCTAGCAAATAAGATAATCAAAGTTTTTTCAAAAATTGCAAAAGATTTGAGGAAGAAACTTTGTATTATACATTGTCATAATACATTATTGTACCTGCAAAAATAAACCTGTAGAATTCGAAATATGCTTCCAATCAGGACCCAAGATTTCTAATTTCGAAGCGAGGAAGAGATTTGATAAACCTAAGCCAACAAGTCCAGCAACATAATGACAGTATTCATCATAGTCATCAATCGTTTCTACCTGTCGAATACACAAATAATTAAGGTTGATTTCATATCCATATTTCAAACTGAAAATAGTGCAGTGATTTTTTTTTTTTTTAAACTTTGGTGCAGTGATTTGACAAGGTCATGTAAGGTTAACTAAGCATGAAACATATTTGTAATTGAAACAAATTAAATCTGACACTAAAAAGATTTCTTTTGTATAATAAAAACCTCCTTGCAAATGAACTTGGCCATTCCTGCACCCATTCTTTTGGTTATATCTTCAATAGCCTCTTGATACCTTTTTGTGTAAGTTAGGAAAACAACATAATTTAATTAGACAAATTCAGTAGATCAATCAATAAATAAGCACAGAAGATTAAAGAAAGTAGTCAACTAACTCTTTTTCAAGATCCATAAATGCCGCAGAAACATGGTGAAATTGGTCCATTAGAACCTTGTAATCCTTCGTACCACCTAAAATCGAATGAAGAGTAAACTAAGTAAAAAGAAACTAAACACTTGCATCTGAAAGCTTTAAGATTACTTACATGAAAAATGCCAATCACAATCGTATATGTGACGGTGGAAATCTATCAGAATTGGGACCTTGATCTCCATTGGTATGCTTGTGTCATCCTCTGTAGTAACAAAAAGAAAAGTAGACAAAACTAATTTGTTAATGTTATCAACAAGAATTCTCTGCCATTGAAAAAAAGAAAAGAAAGATTTGGAGAAGAATAAATGAATAATACTCATCAAATCAAATGTAATATTTGGATACTATATATCTATGAAGCACTAACCAACAGTATCAAGAGCTCGAAGAATCAAGTAGAACACACACACCTAATAAAAACAAATTCAAATAAGAAAATGGTGAAAATATTGTTTGTTACCAAAAATGTAACATAGCTATATATATTGTAGGAGAATATGTTTCCATAAAAATCTAAATCAATCCACATTACAAAACTTATCACAAACTCTTACTAATTCCATGTATATGGCAAATAACATACCGCGTTACGAAGCTCGGTGCCAAGTTGTTGAATAACAAGAGAAAAGCTTTTAGAAACTTTGTGGAGCATTGAGTAGCAAAAAGCTAAGTGTGGATCATGAAGTGGGATCTGATTCTTAGCTTTCGTAATCGCAATTATCAACTTCAAGAGTGGATATATCTCATCTGGGTGACTAAGGATCGTACTCAAACTTCCCATTTTTTATTGGATTCTTCTATTCAGAAATAGAGAGAAAGAGACTCTCTATCTCTTCTTTGAAACAATGACGACAATGGTTGATTCGTTGAAGAACAAAAAAATGTAAAGACTGTTTGTTATACTTGCCAACGTGATAGATGTTGATGTTTATTGGGCCAATGATGCTCTGTTTTGGCGTTTGAAAAGCTTGCCGCGTGCTACACGTGATTTTGTTTTTTATATAATTTCAAGAGATATTCTTTCCCAATACTTTTTGACATTGTGTTGCCGACACAAAAATATAGTATTTAGTTTTCTCTTCATTGGTTCACAACTTCACATAACTTTACGTTTAGAAAATAAAATAAAAATTATAACTAATTTAGAGATTATTTTTGTTGCATTTGGAACCAAATATGAAACAAAATGTTTGATTCCACCAAACAAAAGGGAGAAAAATAGGTGAACAAAATGCAAGTTTATTACAACAACTACAGATAAAACAACGGTCAAGATAACTAACATAGAAATCCATGGTTTTAAGACCAAACCAAGTTTAATACACTCTCTTTTGTTCTGGAAACAATCAATAAGGGATTCAAGTTCTAAAGAAAAGAGAGTCAACCTAGTAATCACTGTTTCATCATGATGCAAACATCTTTTAATGATGATGATACATTTGAATTACTCTCTCCATCACTCAGTTTGCTCTGAGATATGCAATGATTATGGCCAGTAGAATCACAACCATTACAATCTGCGTTTTCGGGTAAGAGAAAGAGGATCATAAGTAATGTGTTTAATAACGAGATACTTCATTTGAAAGGGGAAAACTGTAACTTACATAGACATTGTTTGGTTGTCCATTGTCATTAATATAAGATTTTCTGAGAGGAAGAGAGACAAAAGATTCATCAGAAACCCCAACCAGAACAAAAGATTACGATACTTTTATCGTATTCTGGAATACTTGGAAGATTAATTAGACCAGTTTTTTAGTGAGACATCTTCTTGATTTAAAACGCAAAAGCGGATTCTTTGATTGGGAATGTGGATTATCTAGTAGAATACGAAGATTCAAAAGAAAAGACTATACCTCTTCTGAAGGACTCCAGTGTCTCTGCAGATTTTCTGAACGGCTTCAACTCGGTTTAGTGTCTTACTGGCATTTGGATCGTTCTTGTCAACCTATACGTCGATGTAAAATACATATATTTTTTCTTCTTTTGAGAACAGAACAGAACAGAACAGAGTGAGCAAAAGAAGGAACTAATGGCATACCTTTGTTTTCAGCATGCAAGAAAAATCATAGAACGCACCATAGACATCAGCCATTGTCTTTGTGCGATCAATAACTTTAGCAGTCAGACCTAAACAACAATAAAAAGTGGTTCAACAATATTTCAAATGACAATGCATGTAACACGTACTCAAGCTTGTTGATAACAAAATTTAAGGCTTGTGATCTAATTTATAAACATCTTACCTCGCCTCAGTTTCACGACCCCTCTAAATAGTTGCACATTGTTATAGCATAATGCAAGTGTTCCAATCGCCATGATCTGCTCAAGGAAACACATCCAAGCAAAGCCATATTAACTTCATGACATTCAATACCACTGCAGCGCAGCTTAAGAAGAGTTTATGTAATAATTTTGTGCACGTGGACAGAATGCATATTACGAGAAAACAATGCAAACAGTTCTCATGACATTTAAGAGTAAGGCAACATTTTAGATAGGAAAAACTGAGGATATGTGATATTTTTTTCTCGAACCTGAGGAATGGCACAGAACCGAAATATGGAAGGATCACGCAACGCAGCCATGTATTTCAGGCAATCTTCAATATGCATCAATGCATTGGTGACCATTTCATTCAAGCACTGCACTGCTTTGGTTGAGTTCTCCTCGTATTTTAAGTCCTACATGGGATTAAAATTCACCAAAAAAAGGAAGAGCATTGTTAGAAAATAGTCAATATGTGTAACATCAGACCTGAGATGAGAGTGGCATTTAGTCACCTCGAGCTTGGCAGCATATTTACCCCAAATCTTGCGAGGCCAAAACATGCGGGACTTTGGTATCTCATTAATGTCCTCAAGATAATCCCTGATAATGTTTGTTTTCTGCAAATAAGACCAATGTTATGAATTATTCGATGATAGAAAGATTTGAGGAGGAAACATTGACACATCATAATACATTGTTGTACCTGTAAAAATAAACCCATTGAATTGGAAATCTGCTCCCAGTCTGGAGTCAAAACTTCTGATCCTGAAGCAAGGAAGAGTTTAGACAGGCCTAAACCCACAAGCCCAGCAACATAGTGGCAGTACTCATCGTAGTCATCAACAGTTTCTACCTGAATATAACAGGGAAAACTGGATCGGTACACAAATCATTTCAGTTATTCACGAAATACATTAATAAGTTCTGATATTTTCACGAGATGACCCCAGTCTGGCTCAAGCCAACTTGTCACCATAACTCAAAAATAAATCCACAATACAAAAATGTTTTGAATCACAAACCTCCTGGCAGATAAATTTGGCCATTCCTGCACCCATTCTTTTAGTAATTTCCACTATAGCCTCTTGATACCTTCATATACCAAGGTACAGTATATACAATAACATACATTAGTGTTGTCAGAAAGGAGATTAGAATGTCAACAAATTCAGTAACTCTATCAACAAATGCGAAACAGAACAGAAGTGCATATAGCAAAATAGTAGAACAAACCCTTTTTCAAGTTCCAAAAACGCTGCAGAAACATGGTGAAATTGGTCCATCAAAACCTTGTACTCCTTCGTACCACCTAAAAATTGAATGAGTAAAATTTGTAAGCTAAACAAGTCATCTATTGATGGCATGTGAACAATCAAGATGTACAAGAGACTCGTCAGACTTGCATGAATAGTGCCAGTCAGTATTGTATATGTGCAGGTGGAAAGCAAACAGGATGGGAAGCTTTTCATCATTTGGTATGCTTGTGTCATCCTCTGTAGTACCAAAAAAAACTATCATATTAGCGGCATGAGCATGAAGAAGCAAGATGAATCTAACATGAATACATAACAAAAACAGAATATTTTTCAGATTTCGGAGAAGAAGCCTCATCAAATCAAGGTAATATTAGAAGAACTGGTTAAGAAACACTAACCAACAGTATCAAGAGCTCGAAGAACCAAATAGAACACACACACCTACAACAAAGATAAGGCACTTGAATCAGAAATGCTGCAAGATTGAACACAGTTATATTAGATGACATGTGAACAAAGCAAAGAATGTGGAAAATTTAGAAAGAAGCCAAATCTTCATCATTTACGCGTTACATGTTCCAAGAAAGCCTAGCACAAGCCTAGTATTCCCAGAAGCATTTACTGCAAGCTAAGATAAAGTGGCCAATAAAGCTGAAATCTCAGAATCAATTTATAGCAGCAACCTGCAGAAGAGAAACTAACTCTTCCACAGAGATATAAATCCGTAGTCATCGATTCTACAGAAGAAACCAATTATCACCGACAAAATCCACAATAAATGTGTGTACATACAGAAATTTGGATTCCTCCACAAATCAAATATAGAGGGAGAAGAAGAACGTACAGCGTTACGAAGCTCGGTGCCTAATTGCTGGATAACGAGAGAAAAGCTTCGAGAAACCTTGTGAAGCATCGAATAGCAGAAACCCCAGTGTGGCTCAGAAGGGATCTGCTTCTCGGCTTGTTCAATCGCTCGTTTCATCTTCAAAAGCGGATATATATCATCTGGATATCTCAGAATCGTGCCTAAACTCGCCATTGTTTCTCAGGAATTTTGAATCAGAAAAACAGAGACGAAAACGAAAGATCTCCTTCCTTCAACGACGTCTCTCCTTGGAATCAGTGACAACAATGCCGGATTCTCTGCAACGACGATCTGAGATT